TTTTTTTTAACGGAATGAAATGATTTGAAAATCTTTTTGCAAAGAAATTATTATTTTTTTTAATGGAATTATTTTATCTATTTATTTGGTTTGTTAGTCATTTGTTTTCCAAATATTCTCTCATTTTGAACTTGAACACATTTCAAGAAAACTGGGACGAGGGCAGCAAAAGACAAGAAAAGTGGGCGGAACCTCAAAAAGACCTGTTTGGATAATTCCACAGGTGACCAGGTTCATTGGAAACGGAAGTGTCATGGCTGGGCATGAAAAGTGCATTCTCCAAAGGTTCAGTTGTTCAACGGTTGGACATTGGAATTGGAGTTTGTACATCACACTGTTGAACAGACTAAGTTGAAAACCCATCAAGGTTTAGAGTAGGGTGAAAATATGAATGATGGATGGATGTACCTTGAATGAAAAAGCACTAAGAATAAACTGGTGTTGTGTCGTCAGATTATAGTGCATTTCGATAGTTATTATTTGCCTCTTTTGTAGTTCTTATGAGATGTACAGTAATAGGCTAATAGCTTGTACTATGCTATATCCTGGCCATTTGTTTGTCTGTCTATCAAGGGGTATCCATGGATTTCTAATAACAAACTAATAATTGCCTTTGTATATTAACATTCTGTGTCAACAGAATTCAAAAATTTCTAGGAGAAAAAGCTCAGTTCAGTCTGTTATCTTATGAGACATTTCCGAGACCTAACCTTGTGTTAACTGCTGTTATTGAAATTGACCTGGAAGAAAACAGCAGGCTGGTCTCTACTCTCAGGTAGTCCTGGGACAGCAGTCATCGGGGCTGAGCAGCCTGGCCGAAGCTTCCGTCCTGCTGGACGTGTCTGTCCAAGCTCTGCAGGACACGAGGCAGGAGGGACTTCAGCCAACGGACATGGTTTCCCTCATCCAGTTGCTGTCTCAGGCTGCTGATGTCCCCTCACAGTTTCCTGATTCCGCCAACCACACCAAGGAGAGCATCCAGCAGCTAAGCCAGCACTTCATCAGTGTGGCCGACAGCGTCATCAGCCAGGACAATGCGTTTAAGTGGCAGGCCATCAAAGAGGTAGCATCAACTGATTTGAACCTTCTTATCGCCTCGTTGTCTTGCTGCACTTCTGGCTCCTCTTTGTACCTTTTTACGTGCGAATTCATGTCTGGCTGCTGCTAATGTCACCATTCATCTCCAGTGTTGGACGAGTTACTTCATACATTTCATGATACTACTTGCTATTTGCATGAGAAAGAAATATGTTTCTTTCCAACATTACCGTGTGTCAAGCGTAATAACTTAAGTAATTCAAATTTACATACCTAGTTTTTTTTTTAAATCAAGGATTCATTGATTTAATAATGATTTTGACATTTTACAATGGAAAGGCAACATTTGTAACCATAGCTGGTAAAGTTAACTCATAATGATGATCTTTAACTATATAATTTAGGGTATAATGTTCAATGTTTTGACTCTATGGCGGGAGATCAGTGCCTATGATTAATAATTGTATCAATAGGATCTATTTTTAGGGCCTCACAGATCTGGATTTTTTTTAGCCAGATGGTGATACCGATGTTTGGCAGAAAAAAAAATACAGATTACCAATTAATCAGCCGATTAATTAAAAATATATTTAATGCATAAAATACTGTAGTCCTGTCCCCATCCTGTTGGAGTTTGCATGTTCAATGGCAAGGATGATCAATTAAAATTCAGAGGGTTCCAGTTGCAAGAGATTTCTCAGCGCAAAGGCCCCACCACAGAACGTCTGATTTGCTTTGCCAATTCATGAAACTATATAAAAATAGCACATTTTGTTTTGCGTTTCACATTTGTGGCTGTGCAAATATGATGTGACATAGTTTCCATGAAAAAAAACTATATAATATCTGTCTGTACCATAAATGAAACTATTTTGATCATAAAGGACAAAAATGCATGAAAGAATAAACATATACGCCAAAACACAAAATTATATTCAATCACATGCAAACCCTTAAAAGAGTTCAAATACAAAGAACCCAAATTCTGTAACTTGCTAATCCACTAACAGGCACAAACAGGTGAGGCTTAGAATTTCATACAAAATTGTATTTTGATGAACTCAAAAAAGAAAGGCTGGCAAACAACTCAAGGCAGCATGAGTATCATACGCTTCAATTAACACTGAACAGACAAATGAAGATCATGTCGGAGCATGTACATGCACATATCAAGTAAAACATTTTGTTTACCTTCAAGTAATATCTCGGCAAAAAAAACAAACAAAAAAAAAACAAAAAAAACAAAACAAAAAAAAAAACTTTCTCTCAGCTGAACACTCTCAAATGGTGTGAATAATTGTTTGTGTAGATGTGCCCTGTGTCTGTGGGTGAGAGGGGGGGTTCATTCTGGCCTGGTCATCAGTCAGTCACAGAGCATGATCTCGACAAATAATCATTCACACTCACATTCACAGTTCAGGGTGAACTCCCCTCTTGCCCAAAGCCAGCTGCGATAGGCTCCAGTATTTGCATTTATTTATTTGTATTTTCTCACAGCCTGATGGTCGTTTGCAGTACATGTTGACCATGAATGCAATACAATTACATGATCATTGAAGTCACTTTTGTGGGCAGTTGAAACGAGTGAGTAGATATCCGCTTCTCACCACTAGAGGGCAATGTGTTTTTATTCATGAGTGAATGTACCTTGAGGTTATCAGGGACAAGTGAACCGGGCCGTCAATTGCGTTTTCAACCTGCTTATTTCAGGAATATAGCATAGCTCAAATATTTTCACACATCTAACTTTTGTATTTCTCGACATGAAACCTACAAGTAAATAAAAATTAAAAAAAAAAAAACGCAGCAAAAACTCACATCGAGAGATTGATAGAAGGAATGAAAACAAAACTATGATTTTTTTTTTCCTCAACATTTTTGTGAAGTGGAAAGCGTTATATAACCGTCATCTATCTATCTATCTATCTATCTATCTATCTATCTATCTATCTATCTATCTATCTATCTATCTATCCATTTTGTACACAGCATGTCCTTGTTAGTGTTGCTGATAATTGTGAATCATCTCAGCTAACTACCCTGGTCGGCAGTCAGTCAAAGGGCACATAAACAACTAGTCACACTTATGGGCAACTTAACATCTTCAATTTACAAAAACATGCATAAAGTGGTTGGAAACTGGGAGAACCTGAAGAAAAATAATCGACGCACATCGAGAGAATATCCAAAGTGCACAAAGATGAGTCAGTAGAAACAGAAGAGAATTGGACATCGATAACTTGTCGGGCAGACATGCTTATCACTAGTCTGTTCTGTAATTTATAATAATAATAATAATAATCATAATAAATAATTCTCATAAAAACTTGAATCACATCCATTCTGAATCCCTCGTTCCACTTTGCACATGAAGTGCTTGTGGATCCAGATGGAGGCAACTCGTGGCAAGTGTTATGTTCGAATCAGCGCTCGCCTCCCTTCCCCCTGGCCTCTCAACACTCCAAGGCCATGTCAGCCCAGATTCAATGGATGAGCATCTCTTTGACAAACTGTTGCCATGCTCTCCCTCTAACCGCCTCCTTGCCACACTGCCCCTGCTTGTATCCAAGGCTCAGCTCTCCTGAACATTGTGTTTCGAATGAGAGGTTTCAAAACTGACAATGGAAAAACGCACGATTATCCTTGCATTATAGGCTTATCCATTGGACGTTGTGAGTGCTATTTAGCCAAACTGTATTTAGGCTCGGGAAACAGTAAACAGTGCTAAACGCATTTTGGGTTGAGATGGAGTACTAGGTTAAAAATATTGTGAAACATTTCTTAATCAGTATATTGAAAAAGGGACTCAGCCCATCAGTTCCCTCTGAATATTAACTATGAAACTAATAGAATGTCTTTATTCGAAGACTGAAAGCTCTTTTATGCTGAGATCAACTCCATATTGTGTTCCATAATCAGTTCATGTAAGTCTGGTGTCAGAATATTTTGTGTATCTGCATGCTTGTCGTGTATCTGGGTAACTGAGCTAAGTAAACTGTTGAAGGGAGGGTGGTTAACGTGCCAGTGTTGCGTGTGCTATAGGTGGTGAATGGTCCCATGGATGTGGTGAAGAGTATTGACCGGATGGTGACCAGCTTGAGCCCCGGGTTGATGGCAGACAGGGATCACCTGACATTTCACAGCCCCAACATCAGTGAGTGTCACACACCAGAGATGGGATGACTCGAGTCATGCAACTTAAATGCTGTCGCCGTTTTTTTAATGATTTGGGACTTTCTTGGTTAAAACTTACGAAAAACTCAACTCGATTAGACTTCGAATTGAAACGCATGCTTTGATCAGTGTTTTTGTTGTTTACAGCTGAAAAATAATTACGGTACTTTCAAAATGGTCTCCCATTCATTTAATTTGTTTACAGAAAATATTTTGCCTCTGGAAAAAAACAAAAAAAACAACAACAACAATACAGAATTTTGCTGTCTGTTCTATTCATTTGCTCGGACTCCTATACACAGGCTCGCTGCTCTCGCTCACTCCTTCCACTTAATTAAATCCAAAGATGCCAATCTGAATATCACCTCACATGAAAATTGGTGATATTGTGTCAGGAAACATTTTGATTGTGTCAGGAACATTTGCATCTCAATCAAAAAAAACAAAAGAAATACCACAAACAAACAAACAAAAACACAGATCACCAGAAACACTGCTACTTTCTCGAAGCTGGTTCTTTTCCATTTTCACACTGTCTTTCTATAAATAGTTTTGAGGGACAAAATACTGCAAGTTTTTTATTTATTTATTTTTAATTCAATACGATGTCTTTGCAGTGAGTTGCAAAGGTTGCAATACTGTCATGACAGTTTTATTTAAAGAATGACACATTAAAAGAAACCCAGATGTCTGGACGTTTAGTAAAGCATTTTTTTTTTTTTAATGCAGTAAAATACGGCACTCGATTGTGCCAACAAGAAAGTAATATTGCTAATGTACATGTTAAGATATTATGGAGTATAGTATACTTTAACACCTACAGGGCACGCCTTTCCACCAACATCTGTGACAACACGCATCCATCCATCCGTTTTCCAAACCGCTTATTTGCATATTCGCACTGCATCCTACTTCGGCTGTCTTATTATCATGTATAAATTAATTTATGAGTGTACTGTGTGTGGCTCTGTACAGTATTACCATATATTTTCTGTCTAGATGCATGTTAATTTTCTCGTTATTGTTAGTTTTTGTCCGTTGTATTAAATGTGCTTCGAATGAGACTTGACAAAAGTTGGACTGTAGTACTTATCACTTATTCCGGTGTTTTGTGACTAAATTGAATGTAAGGTATGTTACAAACAAAAATTCAAACCACGTGACTATCAAAGTCGAGGATAGCATTGGATTGCGATTTGCAGCGTGATTACAATGAACCCTAATTTGTAAGAGTCGGTTAAGCTGGTATTTCACTGAACGGCGAATGCTTGCGAATGTCGCAATTTTTTTTTTTTTGTTCTCTTCAAGGTTTTTAAAAGGTCGCAAAAGTGTTTGCAGACAGTTTTTACTAGTGACAATGAGACAGGAAATACTGTTTCCGACAAGTAAAAACTGTGAACATCTATGCAACTTTTTGCAACCTCAAAACCCCCAAAATACGCTAGCATTCATCGCTTGGTGAGATACTTTAAGGATGAAGGGTTTTATGCCACATTTGATGTGGTGAATTCACCCAAATCACTGTAATTCAATTGGAAATTGGTGACTGATCCAACTATTGTACTAAAAGACTTCCAACTCTTTTGAAAAACAAAACAAAACAAGTCGAAACTCTGAAATGCAGTGCCTAATGTGGAACAACCTTTTTTGGGACACAAAATAGTTTCCCCTCTTTAATTTTGTTACATTGCACTTGTATTGTTGATCAGCCCACAATTGTTGAAACATTAGCTGCGGAGAACTGAAAAATACGCCTCAGTTGAATGTGTTTTTTTCAGGTTAGACAGAATTTTGTAATGCCAGGACCAAGTGCTTTGTAAGGATGGTGCAAGACACAAGTACAGACACCTGACAAATCGACTCAATAACAAAGTATTTTCCATAATACGGCCTCTGAAAGCAATGTCCCACCTTCAATCTGCTTTGCTCTGCTGTTGTTACAGAATTATCCGTGCAGCAGCAGAAGCTTCAGGAATCACCCAAAGGAACCAGTTTCTGTGGGCCTGAGGCTGAGAAACACTCTTACTCCGACTGTATTTCAGTCCCCCATCAAAAGATCCAGGATCTCCTTAACAAAGGTATGTGGACACAGTCCATAAGCCAATCAATTTCTTTCACTTTCATTCAATTAAGTCAATTGCGCATTCAGATTTACAGTATTTGTCACAACGTAGTCACATCACTTGGTTTGCAAATGAGACACATTCAGTCATACCGGCGAATGCGTCGACTATGAACAGACTTGAGAATGTGTAGTAGCATTCATATTTTCTCCTTCCAAGGCCGCGCAGTGAAGTGCAAATGGAGGCACGCACTTGGGTTTTGAAACCACTACCTAAAATAAAACAAAACAAAACAAAACAAAACAAAACAAAACAAAAAAAGAACACTTCCTAGGTATTGTTTCATTTATTAGTCTGGTGAAAGCCGGGTATCACGTTTGAACCTGTTTTTGTGCCTAATGTACAGGATTCCATCAACTCACCCTGGTCAACACGTGGTATGGATCTCTGCGGCCTCTTTTCAATCCGGAAGGAAACATCAGCATGGTTCCGACTGTCACGGATGGCAGCCAAAGGTAGCTGTACTAAAGAATGCATTGAACAGTTTTCTTTTCTTATCCAATCCTCATTTGAGCTGTCAACATTGCAGTTTATCTTGCAATTTCAAGATACAAACATCTGCTTTAGTAGCTTTTACTAACAAGAGTTTAGTTAGGACAATCCAATGAGGCCCGCTGAGCAATACTTTGACAACAGCGATGCGGCATTGCTGTACAGGATACTTTATTCATAAATTATGTACAATTTGATTTGACAGTGATGAAATGTAATTATTTGCAGGTGCATGCATTGTCACAGTATTGAGAGTTGTAAAATGAATGTATGCACTTTAGGTATTTGGGTACGATTCTGGGCTCCTCCGTCATATCCACAACAGTGCTGGGAGACAACCAGCACGTCAGTACAGCGGTCCACTTTCAACTCCGTCACAAAATGCAGGTGAAAAGAAAAGCGCATTTGAGTACAGTTTATTCACAATTCTCCTTTCAATCACATTTATTGTATTGGCTCTGTGTATGTCATAGAACACTGCTGGTGCCGTATATGATCCAGTGTGCGCTTTCTGGGATTTTAAGATCACGTAAGAACACTTTGAAACAAAATAACAATTGTGGACGCCTTTCGAATACCAAAGTTATCTCACTGTAACATCAAAACAATGACAATGCTCCCAAAACGTTCAAGTGATTCGAATATTTCCATTCTTCCACATTCCTGTATGGGTTGAGATAAATACATATCTGTGTCTATCTAGTCCAGAGGCTGGTGGGTGGTGGAATACCAAAGGGTGCGAGGTCGTTTCCAAACACTATGGCTACACAGTGTGCTACTGCAATCACACTACCAATTTTGCATTGCTACTTCAGGTCTATGAAGCCCAGGTAACCTTCACTCTGTGTTCAGACTTTTTTTTTTTTTTTAATCGGTGTTTGCTGCTATTTACAGCTCATCGGTTTATTATGAACTCTATGTGGGGGATGCATTTTGTGTGCGCGCGTGTGTACGTGTGTGTGGGCGTGTCCATGCGTGTGTGTTTGTGTGTGTGTGTTTTAGCCGAGCCCAGAAAACAAAAAAGCTTTGCAGGTGCTGACGTTCATTGGCTGTGGAGTGTCTCTGTGTGGCCTCCTCTTCACCTTCATCCTCTTCATTGCTGTGGGGTGAGTCACAAAAATCACAGAGCACACCCTTTAGAGCGCAGAGGTTGAAAAGCATTTCAAAAACCCCAGCCAGATTCGTGTCAGGAAAATAGAAATGGACAGGTTTGTTGAAGAGATTCAGAGAATTTCCTTTTCAAATACTGAACATTCCCAATGGATGTACGATAAGATCCGTGATGACGATGTCATATTGCGCTAATGGCCTCAAACTAATATTCCTCTTCATTCGTTTGCCTTTATGTAGGGTTCCTAAATCGGACCGTACCACCGTCCATAAGAACCTGATTGTCGCTCTCAGCATTGCTGAGTTGCTGTTAATGTGCAGTGACTGGGCGTCTGCCAATGAGGTGAGAATATAGTGCAAGTCGCACAAGGTTGACAACAATTGAAGAGTACTCTGAGTTGGTTGATAAAGAAGACTGCAAGCACAAAGGAAATGACGCATGTAAGGAGGAAGATGAAAATCAGGATGTCATCCAAATGAGTTTTACCAGGTGAATTAAGTCATCTCAGACTGATTGCACAGGTGACATCTAACTGGGGAGTACAGAAGTCTGTGCTACAATCTGATCGTCTCTTTGAAAAGACGAGGTAAAACAAATGACAGAGGTAAATGGAGAATTCCACTTTCAATTCGAACAGAATGTGAACTGAACTCTAAACAAAGTAGCCAAAACAAGGGTGTAATCAACACATTTCTAAGAGTTAATCTATATGATAGCGTGAGAATACGGCAACACACTTTAATCCTGACAGTACATGCTCTTATATCAATCACAGCCACTCTATTTGGTCTGACTCAATTTAAGGGAGACATGTTATATATTATAATGGCTCCACAATTTACAACAGTTCCCAGGTGACCTGATAACATGTCTGTGGCATTCTTTTGTCACAATATTAAATATCATTTTCAACAATCACGTGCTTTATACCCACATTTTCAAGTCTAGCTGAAACGTGCCTGTTTTGAGGAGGCAGTCCTGTCTTCAGAAAACGAGCTATTGCTCAGCGAGGCGAATGTCAAGTATGGCTTCCGTTACCATGACAGCCGGAGCAAGTGGTTGTGATGAGGCAGTGTTAAGAAAAAAGTGAGCGCATTGGTTGTATCTTTTTTTTTTTAATTCCTGGTGTCAACCCTTGATCACTAAGCCACTGAATTACACTTAATGAATGAGTTTAGCATCTATAAATTTGACAATATGACAATGATTTGCATTGACACTATATAACTGGAGCTGGCCTCAAAGTACTCTGAAAACACATCACCACTTGCATGTGCAGAGGATTTAGTCGAAAAAAGTGAAGAAGCACCTACTTCCTTCAAATCTCAAAAACTGTTTTGAAAGTGGAAAATCAGTTTTGAACCGAACTTTTCCACATTAAAATATATGAATTGGTCTTTTAATGGAGAGACACATATTGATATTCATATTTATATATTGACTGCTTAAGATGTTTATATATATATTAAAAAAAAAAAAAAATCCTCGTCTCACCCCTCGGGTGGTGTCCATCCCTCATTCAGCTCGGGTCCTCTACCAGAGGCCAGGAAGCTTGAGGGTTCTGCGCAGTATCCTTGCTGTTCCCAGCACTGCACATTTCTGGACTGAGATGTCCGATGTTGTTCCCGGGATCTGTTGCAACCACTCATCTAGTTTGGGGGGTCACTGCCCCAAGTGCTCCGACCACCACAGGCACGACTGTCACCTTTACCTTCCAGGCTCTCTCCAGCTCCTCTCTGAGCTCTTGGTATTTCTCGAGTTTCTCGTGTTCCTTCTTTCTGATGTTTCCATCACTTGGGACCGCTACATCCACTACAATGGCTTTCCTCTGCCCTTTATCTATGATCACGATATCTGGTTGGTTCGCCATTACCATCTTGTCAGTCTGGATCTGGAAGTCCCACAGGATCTTCGCTCTGTCATTCTCCACCACCTTCGGAGGTGTTTCCCATTTTGACCTTGGGGTTTCCAGTCCATACTCTGCACAGATGTTTCGGTAGACTATGCCAGCCACCTGGTTATGGCGTTCCATGTAGGCTTTCCCTGCCAGCATCTTACACCCTGCAGTTATGTGTTGGATCGTCTCAGGTGCCTCTTTGCACAA